TATGGCTTTACTTTTTATACCTCATTTTTATACTTTTCTGCTGAATGGTTAAGATCAAGATAAAGCAAGACCTATCTAATGAGAAATGTAGCTTTTATATCTAATAAGTTCAGTCAAATCCCCTCAGCATTTATTCTGAAATCATGTGGCCATTTGTAATAGCCATTTTGATGGGTGTGTGATGTTTTAATTTGGAATTTCTAGATTGCTAATACATTTTTCTAGACTGCTAATAAGTATCTTTTAATGTAATTGTTTGAAATTCCTATTTCTGCTTCTGTAATGTTTCTGTTTCAGCCTTTTGCCTGTCTTCATGTTAGGATGTCTGGGCTTTTCATAATTTCTAATAGCTTTTATGCCTTCTGGCTTCAAGCCCTTTGTCATTCCTACGTGTGGAAATATACATCACTCTCCTTTTTACTTTCATTACTGTCTTTTGATAAATAGGAATTCTTAATTTTAAGAGGCCTTAATACATAAATCTTTTTCCCTTGGGTATCTTTTAGGTATTAAGAGATCTTTCTGGGGCCAGGGAGATAGCTCAGCTACCTAAGTGTCTGCCAGGCAAGCGCAAGGTCCTGAGTTCGATCTCTGGTACCACAAAAAAAAAAGAAAAAAGAAAAAAAAAAAGAGAGAGATCTTTCCCAGGATTACAAATATATCACCATATATTCCCTTTCTGAATGTTTTATCATTTTTCCACTCACACTGAAGTCTGAAATTCATGCAGAACTTTTGGTTGATAGCAAGAATTATGTCTTGATGTGATACCTACACATTACAGCTAGCCTGCGCCAGTACTGGGGAGAACACACTTCCCTACCCTGTGCCTTGCGATCTTGTCATTGAGTCAAGCACCTGTCTGCATAAGAATCTACTTCCAGGCTTTCTTTTCTGTTCCACTGGCTTACAGCTGTGGATCTTTGTCCCAGACCAACACAACTATAGCCTTACCAAATGTCTTGATAGCTGATGTAACGAGGCCTCTTACTTGCTTGTTCTTCTTCACCAAGAGTAGCTTGCATTCCTGTATAGATTTCAGAATCAACTTACTAAGTTCCAAAGGCTAAAAGGGAAGAGGGAAGAAAATGAAGGAAAGAAACCTGCTATGATTCTCATTAGAAATTGCACTGTACAGCAACTGGGATTCCATTCCCAGCATGCTGTGCCAGCCCCACCCCGGGGCGAGTTCATGGTGGTACATGCCTGTAATCCCAGAGCTTGGGAGGCTGAAAGCAGGAGGATTACTATGAGTCTGATCTTTGTAGTAAGACCCTGTAGACTCTATACAAAAAACAAAAAAAAAAAAAAAATACAAAAAAAAAAAAAAAAGAAAGAAAAAAGAAATTGCATTGTACCTGTAGATCAATATGAAAAGATTTAAACACTTCAAAATATTGAGTCTTCTAGCCCACTTTTTTAGGTATTCTCTAATTCCTCTAACAAATTTTGAAGGTTTTTCTGTCACAGGTTTGCATAACTCATATTAGATTTACTCCACCTACTTGCTTTGATCTTCCCACATATAAATGGTATCTTATATCTTGTTTGTTATATAGAAATACAATTAATTTTTGCCTACTGATTAAGCATCTGGGCACTTTGCTAAGTTCTCATATTAACTCTAACAGTTTTTCTATGTATTTATTCTCTTGGATTTTTTTATATACATATAATCAATGTTGACTTTTTGTGTTTGTCAGGGGATTGACCACCTTTCTGAAGTTCCTTATTATTTCTAATCATTCATCATAGAGACTCTTTGGTTTTCTAGGTTGAAAAAAATCAGATTAATGTGTAATTATGAAGGTTCTGCTTCTCCCTGGAGAAACAGTGCAGAGTAGTCGTAAGGCGCAAGGAGTCTGGAGTCAGGCCACATGCCTTTGAATCCCACCTTCACTGCTTACTGTGTAACTCAAAGTAATGTGCTTAGTCTTGGTGCCTTTGTATCATTCATTATAAAGAGCCTCAGAGGGTGGTTGTAAAGCTTAAATAGTTCCTAGAGTTAGAATGGAGTCTGGCAGAGGGTGAGCTTGAACCTTAGGTGAGCATTTACCATTTTATCAAAAGCTCATTATTTTCTAAATTTCCATTTTCCCCCCTTATTTTATTGTATTGGCTACCTTTCCAACATAATATTCAATAGTCATGGTGCTGTCAGGCCTCATCTGAAATGTTAACACTCTGAAACTTTTTTTCTAATTTTATTATAGGCAGGACTGAGTTCTGTTTCTTGTTTGCTATTTCTGAAGTCATCCTTCACTGGACTTCTGAATCTAATGTTAAACTCTTCCAAAGGCGTTTCTTTTGGTCGGCAATGTTATTCACATAGAAATGGAAAACATTAGTAATGCAGTCTTCTGTGGTTAAACATCACCGAGAACCTGCGGTTAAAGGAGACTGCAGCCTCTCTCGCGCCCTGGAGATTGTGTCTCAAAGGACGGGTCTGGGCGGTATGTGAGCCTCCTCAGGCCGGTGGGTTGTTTGGGATGCACTCTGGGAGGTTGGGATGGATTCTTGAGCTTTAAATTTGATTAACATTTTAGGAAGCTGGAGTATATCGTCAAGGGTTTGGTTGTTGGTTTTTTTTTCCTCACAATGAGTATATAGACTTAGTTTTCAAGGCATTAAGGAACTAAAAGTACATTCTTATGGGAAAGGTTACGCCAACTGCATAAAATTCTAGCATCACACTCACGGGGTCAGCTTTGTTCTTAGCTCCCTCCAGTGCTGGTACTGTACTTCTAAGTGTACCGCAAATAAGATGCAGCTACGTTTTCATGGGCTGTATTACTATAGATCTTTGTTTGGTTTTGTTCTTCATAAGTTTCTGTTCATGTGTCAACAAAGCTATCTCTTTATGGCAGTATCAACTGATATGAAGTGGTTTTTCCCTGTGCTGTGGACTGAACACAGGGCCTTGTGTAACCTACACCCTGTGTTTACCTCTTAGCCATATCCCCAGTCCTCGAGCAATTCCTTAAAATGTCCTTTAAGTATCTCTTAGATATTTTTCAGATGAATTTTCTCCGTATTCAGATGGTGGTCTCTTTCTTACTTTCCAGGACTTTTCATCTCTCTTCTGTCATATTTATTCATTCGCAGATGACGAAGGACTCATTCCGGCGTGATATGGCCAATAGATAGGTGTGCTTTGCTCAGATCCTCTGAATGCCATTATGCTCGGTCTCTTAAGACCTGTACCAAATCACCTGGGAATACACTAACTAAGCCCCTACTGTATGTAGCTGTCTGAGCATTTGGTCCTGGTGTGTGGACATGGATTTACCCTCTGCACCCATCCTGGGCTGCTGACGTGCTGACCAAAGGGCATGTCTAGGGCTCCTCTCCACCCTGAGGTCACTCAGAGCACCCTGGAAACTTAACCTCTTAGTAATATCCAACCCTCTCACTCCCACCTAGGTTTTTTTTTTCCAAATTGTCTTCTGAGGGTTGAGGTTCTTATTTAGAAATAGATATTTTGGCTGATCCAAAAGGTATCACAACTAGACTGATGACTACTAAATTTGAATTTCTGAACAGTCGAGAGATTTGGGTGTTAGTTAATAGATTCCAATGTTATTTTAAAATCTAGTTCCAGTGGTCTTGCACTTATGTGAAAAATGCCCCGGAAATGTCTAATACAGATTTACTACAGTTGTAGTTTTTAGGGTGGTAGGTTTTAGCTTTTATTTTAGATTTTTTAGATGATTTTTAGAGGGAAGTTGGAGCAGCTGCTCCAGGCCCTTCTAGCCCTTTGAAGCCAGATACTCCTCTCCAGAATGAAATGCTTTATTTTAGTAACTTATATCTCCCTGAACAGCTGGGAGGAATGCTGCCCTGTAGAGGAACTCATGATCCCTCTATGCCAGACTTTTGTACTGGGAGAATAGTGACAAGAGTTACGATGTCAAAGGCCTGCTGCCCCGAAGATGTAGCCTAAGGAAACTGCACTGGACCGGAAGGGAGGACACCTGAGTGTTCAGGACTCTGCCTGGCAGTGCTCAGCATCCCACTGACAGGAGCTCATCTCTTTGTTGCTAGTATAGGGGCTCACGCCAAGTGGTCTCTAACTCCTGCCATCCTGGAACTCCCTGGTTTCATTACCTGACCTGAATCACCTGCTTTTAGCAACCTGTT